CCTATTCCGAAATACGCTGGAATGAATGGTACATATCTTGAGCGTATATATTAGGGTGGGTCAAAAAATCAAGTCTTTTTTTGGATCCGACACACGAAAACTAGTTCCTAGGTACCTCTAGAAAGTACTTACCTAATCTGAGCTCTTAATATTAACGGGAAGGTTATGCTCATCATAGTTTTCCATTTTCAATTTAGTCTCATATAAAAATGGTCATATCTTATCACCAATAGATCGTTAAACCAGTTGCATCGTCAATATTTATAGGAAATTGAACGCTCTACAAAAATGGTCTCATATACTCTTTTCATTAATCTAACCATTTAAAAGATATTCAAGGTCAGAAATTGAAGTATTTTAAGGAAAATAACTTTTTGTTTTGAATTTTGTAACTTACTAAAAAATAATTAATGTCAAATAAGTTTTAATTATTTCTACAGGGAATTAAATGCTCTACAAAAAAGGTCTGAGGTAGTTAATCGATTACTCTAACCATTTAGTAGATATTCACAGTAGAACTCCAATGCCTACTGGTTTTAATAGTTTTTTAATAAAATAAATCTGTAACCGTTTTGTACTGCGACCTTTTTGATTTTTAATCAAGTAATCCTTTTTAATGCCGGCTTTGAGATCAGGGTGTTGATGCAATTAAAACACATGAAATTACATTCCTTCCCAATATATTTAAATCTCCTCCGGAGATCGTCTTCAGGGGCTACAACAATTACACAAGTTTTTTTATTAACATACAAGAAAAAGCTAACACATCAAAAACATACATAAATACGTACATACATTAATTAAATTTTAGCTCCACGACGTCCGTCTCGTTTGTCGTGCAGTTTAGAACTGATTTTACAAGTGTCAAGCAGGTGTCTGTATATGTGGGCGCAGTTTTCTGTGTCTGTTTTGTAGTTTAGTCTCTTGTTTGGTGGTGTGCAGTGTTGCCAGAACTTTTTGGGCCGACCGGCTAGATTGGCAAAAAAAGCGGCTAAAAACGGCTAAAATGTTTTAGTGAAATTTCACATAGACTCTGGCAAAAAACGGCTAAAATGTTTTAGTGAAAATCCACATGCTTTATTTTAATAAATCGCAAGAAACGAAAGACTAGTTAACACCATTAATTTATATCGAGTGTATATTCCTCATCATCAAATGAATCACTATTTTTTATATCACCTGAATTCATTAATTTTAAGAGATCGTCATCTACAGTAAAATTATGGCAGCATTTTTCTTCACGTTTTAAACCGTATCTTATATATAAAATAGCGTTTAACGTTTTAACGCACATTGGATTTCTTTGCTTAGTTTTTATTATATTCATTGAACTAAATATTCGCTCTACTTCTGCATTACTTATAGGGAAAACAAGAAAACTAGGTTGCAAAGGTCAGCAAAAGGGTTTTCTCCTAGGGCATTTCGAAATTGATAAACTTCGGCCCAAAATTTTACAGTTGAGTCTAAATTACTCCAGGTATGTAACGTTAACCGTTGCCATTGCATCTCTATGGATGTTTTTTTGTCGGCATTATATTTGTGTTTTTGTTGCTGTAGTTGAACAAATACTTTTGGTTTAATTACTCTTAATGCATTTCCAACCGAAAAAAGTCAATTTTTTTTAGTGTGGCAATATTTGTAGGGAGGCGTTGGCGTAATTCCTTTATTAAAGTGATAATAAAATAGCGACCATTTTCTCGAATTATTTTCTCGGCTTCGTGGTCAAAAGCGTTTGTGCTTACTTTTGTTTTTAAATACTCTTCAAAACTGTGATAAAACTGAGGAAATGGAGCAAGGTATGGTTCCAACGGGGAGCATATAGGATCAAATGTGTCCGCGCTAATAACCACTAGGCAGCATAGATGCGAAAGTAAAACATTGAGTTCATTAAAAATCTTCATTGGGTCTGCATTATTGCTTTCGAAAAACTTGTTTACTTTTTGCACCTGAAAATTAGGCAAATAGTAAAATCGGCTAAAAACGGCTAACTTTTTTTACAAACCGGCTAACAAATCGGCTGCCGGCTAGATCAAATTTTCTCCGGCTAGTTGCTATCAAAACCGGCTAAATCTAGCCGGAAAACGGCTAAAATGGCAACGCTGGTGGTGTGTTAATTATGTGGAGCATTTCTAATGTGAAACGTTTATTATAGTGTTGTTCTTGCTGTAATATGCTCACAGCTTCAAAATCGGGATTGTGTCCGCTCTCTGCACAGTGGGCCGCTAGTGCAGTTTTTTGTGTGTTACTGGATGCTCTACATTTTATGTCCGATCGGTGTCCTGATATTCTTGTTCTAAGTTTGTTCTTTGTTGTTCCTACATACTCTTTTCCACATTTATTATTTTCATCACCAGCACATGGAATCCTGTATATAATANGGGTGTATGAATTAGCCCCCACTGAATTAACCCCCACCGGGCAAAATGACTTAAGCCCCACCAATGTCTCAGTGAATCTTTCCCCACCAAAAATGACAGAATCCCCACGAAAAAAAAATGAATTAAACCCCACGAAAATGATTTTATCCCCACCTATCGAAATGAATTAAGACCCCCACCAAACGTGGGGGTTCTTACATGACAGAGTCCCCACGAAAAAAAAGGAATTAATCCCCACGAAAATGACTTTAGCCCCACTTTGCTTCATTTTTAATTTATTTTGATTGCTTTAAACTTCAAGTTTTTAAATCAGAATTTTAACAAAAATTCAATTATACATATGTATGTAATATTTAAAAAGAAAAAGGTAAAGAATTAAATGAAAATATGAAAATGTGAGAAAAAGAAAATAATTAAATAAAAATATGTAAATGTTCGTCAACATCTTGACGACAAAAAGGGCATTTAAATTTATTAAAATTGTTTGCCACACTCTGTGCACTATAAGTGATTTTAACCTTTCGTAAAAGGAAAAATTCCCTTCTATTATTTTATAATTTACAAAATTATGGTTTCTCCTTTTACGAAATGTGCACTATTAGTGATTTTAACCTTTCGTAAAAGGAAAAATCTTTGACAATTC